ATCTTCAACAATGGCCGAAAACGCAGATGTCAGCAACATTTCCTTCCCTGAGGGCGAGTTAGGCGAGAGACAACGAGCACAGTATATTGCATTTCATCAGAGGTCACTTCAGCCAACTCACTACCCGCACCTTCCATCACTTACGGAGCTCGGACTCCTCGAAGGTGTAACCTGGATGCTTCAACGAGCAGGCATCTGGAACCTAACGCTCATCGCCGCCTCACTGACCAGTTCCAGCACGACGCCTTCGCGTTGTGGTATCAGTTGACCGGCCTCAATGCCGATGGTTGGGACTCCCTGCATGCCACTCACATCCATAACCCCGCCATCAGATACTTTCACCGGGCATTGAGTAACATTATCTTCGCCAGAGACAGCAACCATAAGGTGAACTCCAAGAGCTCTTCTTTCTGCATTGCGTCTTCAACAATGAACTGGTCAACGCTGCCCCGTTCCTGCTGGCTCACATTCAGGCCAACTGCAACCGTGGCTCGAAGCCATTCTACTTTGGCGGGATTGTCACGGCGATTGCACTTGGGCTGAACCTTGGCGACCGCCTCCAGCACCTCCAGTCCATCCCCTCGGTGTTCCTTGACACCGACCACTGCAGGGCCTCCCATCTCATCCGCTCCCGAGCTGACGGGAAATATCATCCGGTTGTACGTGGCAAGACCGTCAGAAGCATCATCCTTCCGTCCCGCACCCGCATCCATCCTGAGGACCGTACCAACTGGTTGTTCGACCTCACTGCCCCTCCTGCTGCCGCTGTTCCTACTCAGGACCCCACACATGATTCCGAAGATGAAATCCAAGCTGAATTGGACAGGTCCGAGCAGCCGGAGGCATCGCAACCTCCTCCACCAGTAGGTACATCATCCCGCCGCCGCCGTCACCATCCCGTGCCCGATTACACCGAAGAGGACCTCCGTCGCTCCCTAGACCAGCAGGCACAGATACTCACGATGCTGCAGCAGCAGAACCAGCGAGCTGACCAGTTCGAAGCTTGGCACCGGACTCAAATGCAACAACTTCACACCGGCCAAGCTACGATCACTGAGAGTCTAGCGAATCTGACCCTGCAGGTCGAAGGACTCCGAGACACGGTCTACCACACCGGAGCCATGAGCTATGAGGACAGAGTAGCCCTTGCTAGAGCCAGAGGACGCCAGCGTGGACGTGACAGGCCCCAGGACTAGATTTTTATTTTTTCCTTCATTGTTTACTATATTTCAGTTCTTTGTATTTTCATTTTCAGTTGTATCTCCCTCTCGCATGCTTCAAGAATCAGTGAGGACACTGATCGAGATAGTGTGGGAGCGGAGCCTTATTTCCACTGTATTCAGAACTTCCCTTATTTACTGTATTTCCATTTCACTGCACTTTTGAATTCTAGTAAGTTCTATTTTTACGCTTTCTATTTCTAGCAAATAACGCGCGTCTATATAATTTTCACGTTACGCAAACCATCCCCACATTATTCAACGTAAACAAAAACTTTCATTTGTTCCTCAAAAGCAAAAGCATCACGAGAATGCACCTGAGTTCAAACCGAGTTTTGAAACTCCGAGGAAACGACAGTTCTAACAAAACCAGTATCGTCCAGACACCTTAGATCTCTAGTTTATGCAAGTCGGTTTCACCGCCTACGTGTACCAAAGTCTCAAGTGTCTACGCGAACTCAACCCCAAGTAGTTTATACTAGCAGTCAGCACCATCCTAAAAATACCTCTAAGCGAGCGACCGATGCAAATAAGTGTATGATCTCCAAAAAGATGAAAAATCATGAAAAGAGCGCTAAAAAAAGCCCAAGAATATAAGATACGTTTCCTTCTAAGTTAGGTGCTCCTCACCCGAGCATTTAGCCCAACGGCACGAAAAACTCATTGAAAAATCAATGACACCAAATTATGATCAATGAAGAAGATCAAAAACAAAAACGAGATCATATTCACTAACAGGTCGACTTGCCATGAGAGTGTGCGGACAACGGGCTTAATGTGATTGCGCTAAAGCAAACAGGGTGAACTTGCCACGAGAACCTTGACACCACGATACAGTAGCATGACTGAGACCGATTTGCATAAAAGGGAGACCTCCGGAGACTTGTAGTCCAGTGTCGTCGTGATACTCGTCTTGTTCCTACCAAGAATCCCGGTTTTTCCAAACTCTGCGAACGAAGAAGCAGCCTCGTGCTTGCCGACTTTTCCACGTTTTACTTGAGGACAAGTAAAGATTCAAGCTTAGGGGAGTTTGATAACACGAAATCATATAGATATTTTCATGCATAATTCAACTAAAGTCTAACCGTTTTCGATCCAATTTTGGGTTATTTCCATGTATTTGTCTGATGTTTTTGCAGGTATTCAACGATCACGTCTAAACAAGGCAACATGAAGAAAAGAAGCAATCCCAGATGAAATATGGACGAAAAAGGAGTGAAAACACAATGAAAAGCGCAGCAGACAGTTTTTGCTGATGTGACGACCGTCACAGATGCATGACGACCGTCACACGGGTGACGACCGTCACACCTTGTGACGACCGTCATGCAGGCAAAAACGCCCCACTCAGATTACACGTCAAAAGAGCAGTTCCAATTCCCATTAAATGGTCCACTACTCCCTAAATTATCTGCCTCAAGATCCATCATCCTCAGAGGTAACCGTTGGAATTCCACCTCTATAAAAAGGGAAGCAGGGGACTTCAAAAAGGGAGCTGCATTCATACCACGAAGTGCTGCCAAATTTACTTTCTAGCAAATTTACTTTCAGTTATTATTTGTATCCATTTCTCCAGTTTTATTTGTATCCCTTTCCTTTATTTCCCTTTCCATTTTTACTCATTCTTATTTCCGCTCTTCTGTAATTGTTACTGCACTGTACGATCGAATTGGAACTAAAGACAGAATCCTGCCAACATCTGTGGAGGATCTGCCCAAAGGCCAATTGGCATTATTTACAGGTTTTCATTTTGATCGACTTCTATTTTATCATAATGCAATTTATTATTTATTATTATTATTTATGTTTTGCTTTTCTAAATTCCATGTCTAGCTAAACTTAGGTAATCGATATGTAGTAATAATTCGAATGGGACTTGATAACTCTTGTTTGAAAACTTTCTTTTCACAAAAATAACTTATGGTCTAAGTGTTTAAAATTGATTTACGAAATAAACTTCGTCGCGAAAGCGAGAAATTATTTTAAAGTAGTTTTGCCACGAAAGTGGGAAATTAATTAAGATACGAACCAACAAGCGAAAGCTGCGGTAAGGTCAGATAGTAAACACTAGGCATTTGTTTTAATAACAGCGAAAGCACTTTAAAACGAATTAGAACTTAGAGATTTCCAAAAAGTAATTTTAACCCCGAACGGAACACGAAAGTGTACGTTTGGCCCTTAGGATTATGATTAGCGTCAATAACCATTGTGAGACGAGAGTCTTCAAATCTCCATTTTCTGCTTAAATGAACTGTGAAAACTATTTCATACACCAGTAACTTATCAAGTCCCTGAAGAACATAATTACTACGTATCGATTTAATTAATTAAAAATCCAAACAGTAATCTTAGTTCCCCTTTTAGTGACAACCTTATTCCCTTAAAACATATTCTACCTAGCTAAACATAGTAACTCCCGAGAACACTGGTTTGATTACGAGTCCCTGTGGGATCGATATCTTTTATTACTACGCGATAGACTGTGCACTTGCAGTTAGTTGTATTAGACATAGAAAGTCGCGATCAGGCATTAAGGCAAAGTGTGTTGTGAGATTATGTCGGTGGTTGAAGAGCTTCTTTCTAACAAGGAAGTTGCACCATAAAGTATGGTTGTCGGTGAAGACAATGTTAAAATTCTTGGAATGGTGTATCTTCAAGTGATTATACTCTTTATGGTGGAGTATGATTGTTGTTGAAAATAATGAAAACTTATGTATTATTTTCAATCAAGGTGGAGATTGTTGGGGTTGATTGAAAATATACATGTCAAAGAAGTAACACAACAAATTCTTTGAAGTCCCACATCACTTAGTTCTGTAAAGGAAGAGGGAATCCAAGGCTATATATAAGATCCAAGTTCTTCATTTCAAGATGTACTAGGCAAAAGCACTTTAAGCTTGTATTTGACTTTTTTTATATTTTCTCTTATACTCTTGGTTTTAGAGTATTGTGATGGGTAGTTAAATATTTGTTTTAAGAGAGTGTTGGTGTATTGGGGTCTTGGGGTAATTGAGGGTAGGCTATGTGTTGTAACAATTTTCACATAGTGTTATTTTTTAGTTTTGACAGCAGTCGTGGTTTTTTCTCCGGTTTTGGAACAATTTTCACATAGTGTTATTTTCTGGTTTTCATTTGACAACGGTCATGATTTTTTCTCCGGTTTTAGAGTTTTCACATTAATCTCTTGTGTTATTGTGTTCCTCTTTTTTCTCTATACTTGTTTTTTCTTAACAAGATATAGGTTTAGTGAAGTTTGGGTTGTAACATAATGCGGTTTGATTCGATTTGGTTCAGTTTGCAAAATACAAACCATAAACTGAACCGACCCGCACAATTTTGTTAAACAATGACTCAAACACATCCTAATCAAATGCAAATTTTTGCAGTTTCAATTTGATTCGATTTAATTTGCAGTTTTTTTTATTGAATCGGTTCAGTTTTAAACACCCCTATTGCTCACTTAGTAATGAAGTAAGAGAATCATTTCACTAATTCCATCATGTTTTCTCAATTTGCACAATTATAACCAAACAAAACAAGTGAAAAGACATTCCTAATTTCATTTTCACACAAATGTGTATGATTAACAACAAAAACATATCAAGACCACATAACTGTTAACTTCTTAACCGAAAAACCAAATTAAATATGTGTGTGCATAAACAACTCTAGAGTTTATTGTATTTGTTATGAGAAGTATAGTAAATACAAATCACCAAGGAAGCATAATTTTATACTTCTAAACTTTTGATCCTTTTCATTATCCATAATTCAAATCCCTTAAACATACATAGCATCATTGCTCAAATTGAAATTGTTACTCAAATCAACCTCAGGCATGCAATGAACAAACCCATTTCCCATCATTTGGTTTGCAAACTTAATTTGTGAATTGAACATCACACTATTATGATACTCCGACACATCATCATGCATTGCAGCTTCTTGAAAACCTTGATCAAATCCATTTCTCATGACCAAAGACTCAACTGAATTTGAAGAGTTGCTACCATTTACATGATCAAGTGAAAGCCATTCCGCGAATAAGAGCTTCGGTAATGAGCTTTGATGAGTCTCTTTGGCGATGATGTTGTTGTAATTGTGTGGCTCTTGAGTTGCAAGTTTTTGAAGAGAGTGTGAAGAGGTGATTGTGTCTGAGCTTGAGGCAGCATATTGAAGATGTTTTTGAGATTCCATTTCATTAGCTTTGGCCACTCTTTTTTTCAAATATGAATGCCAATAGTTTTTTATCTCATTGTCTGTCCTTCCTGGTAAATGTTGTGCTATTTGTGACCACCTAAACAAGGTAGTTTAAGGTTTTCTTAGTAGTCTTCATTTGAAGGGAAAAAAGAGTATACAAAAAAGTTTATGATACATAGTTTGGAAAAATTTACCATAAATCAATACTTAAAATTTGTCTAAAAAGTTTAATAATAATTAACATTAGTGCTTTCAAAACTAGAAATCAGAGAAATTATTTTCGTCTTATAGATGAAATTGTAATATGATCAACGTCAATTTAAAAAGAAAAAAAAATTGATATATACATTTTACAACTTAATTTATTTTAATAAAATCAATACGGATTAGGTCATTATCTCAATTATGCAAAAAAAAATTAATATTATAACCTTGAAATAGTTTTAATTTGAATATATAGAATTAAGGAATAGTATAATCAATTTTTATTTTTAAATGTTAATTCACTATTATAGAGAAAAGCATGACATCCATGCCAATTCATGATTTGACTTACCTATCAATTTTTTTTCCCTTTAAATTGGAACCACTTTATTCTAAAAAGTAAAATTGAATTAGATATAAAACTATCCACCAACCACTTACATTAAATTAACAACATTATTTTTATCTTTCCTTGCAAGTTTGTATCAATATTTTAGACTAAAATTACAAAAATTACTTCTTTTCACTTTAAACTTTTCCATAAAATTTAAATTATTAAAAATTGAAAAGAAATGTAAAACAAAAAGTAGACCAACTATAATACTAGCTTACTTGTTGCCTAGCATGTGATGAAGGGTCAGGATTGTCTCCTCCTCTTGCTTGCTGAACTTTCCTCTCTTTAATCCTGGCCTTAGATAATTAATCCACCTTAATCTGCAACTTTTTCCATTCCTTTGCAAGCCTAAAAAATTTAGTAAAAAAATATTTAATTTTAAATTTAAACTGACACGACATGTTATGTAGAAATTTTTTAAATTACAATGGTATATTTAAAAACATGATAAGGGAATAATGTACATTTACCATGAACATACGAAAAATCACAAACATGAAGAAGAAAAAACCAACCTGACTTAATAGGGACAGAACTCCAACAGCCATGACCATGTTTAAGGATGTAGTTTCTGAGTTTATGATCTTCTTCAGGTGACCATAAACCTTTCCTGTGTTTTGGTTTTGTCTTTTCTAGTGTCTGCAACCCCATTTTGTTTTTCCTTGTAAAATGTAATGTTGAGTTTGAAATTTGGAATAATATAGAGCAGAGTCAGAGAGAAAAATGAGAGAATATTTATTTGGTAAGGAAACTATGCAGAAGCATAGTAATATATATATAAAGGAAGAAATGGTTATGTTTGTTCATTTTTCAACTATCTTTTCACTAATCACGTTGGAATAATTAACAAATATATATATATATATATATATATATATATATATATATATATATATATATATATATATATATATATATATATATATATATATATATATATATATATATATATATATATATATATATATATATATATATATATATATATATATAGTTTGTCTCATAAGTTGAAAACGTGTTCCCCTTAGTGAAATTCACCTTTTTCTAAATTAGTAGATTTCATGTTCAAAGTACTCCAAAAGTTATATGATTTTTTTCCTACATTATAAATGGTATCAAACGGCAACTATAAATATTTTTATGATAATAGTATCAACAAATAATAAATCATATTGTAATAAATTTTTAATTTTTTAGAGGAAATAGTAATAATCACTAAAAATTTACATATTCAATTGTAAATATTAAAATTTAAATTTTAGTCATAACATCTAACTTAACATGATTTCTGATAAATGAGATAAGATTTGCAGATGAATTATATTTGTTAAATATTAATTTATTTTTATTTGGTGAAAAGGTATGAAAAGTGACATGAGTACTCACATACAACATAAATTAATGTAGAATTGATTCATGTTATTCTCTAAACAGGTAATGAAAAATGAGATTATACAAGTCAACCTTTGTCTAGTGCCAACACATTCTTTGCCGTCCAAGAGCAATTAACAAACATTTTATATTTTTCTTCTTTTATTTACTTTTAATAATTTTTTACAAATTTAATGCAGTTAAGAAACAAGTTTTTATCTTCAATTAGAGGTTGATGACATAAAGAGCAGCATGTGTTGGTGAAGTTGGTATAGGAGAAAATTGGCCTTACTAGAAACATTACACATTCATTATTGATTCGTGAAAGAAACATTTGTACAATTTGGCAGAAAGAACATGAGTTCATTAATGGTAGATAAAAGTACTAGTAAATTTTGATCCCATTTTATAATCATTACAGTAAATTTTTATCAACTGTTCACCAAAAATGACAAGGTTGAATGTTATTCAAGAAGTACCATTTTTAACCCGTCATTAATCATAATATCATCACAAAAAATCGGTTACTATATATTATACATAATGGATACATTAAATATACTATTTAATTTTGTAGTTTATTTTTTTTTATAAGCTAATGTTGTAGTAAAATTTGTTAAAGTCGAAGGGTTTAGGTAGTTGTCGAAATTATGATACGTTGTTGTTTAAGTTAGCATGTTGAATTAGGTCAATCTGTTGAACCAATTGTTTAAGTTAACTTGTTGTTTAAATTAGCTTAGTAGTCTATAAATAAACTATTTCTCTTAGGTAAGTTGTTGTGAGAGAGAAATTGATTGTTGATATTCACTCGTAATCTTTGAATCCTAATAGAGAAAGTGAATAATAAAGTAGTTATAACCAATTTTGATTCTTCTTCTTCTTTCTTCTCTCTCTTTTGTAAAATTTACTAGGGTTTCTTGTTTTTGTTCAAGAAACTCAATCTTTCTCATATTTTGGTTTGTTCTTGACGACATCGATTCACAACAAATTGGTGTGGTGAACGTGAAGAAGAAAATATTGTCAACAAAGTATGAGATTAAAAAATTTGTCGGTGTGAATGATTTCGTTTTGTTACACTTGAAGATGCAAGCCTTATTGGTTCATCAGGGTTTGTTAGAAGCGCCGAAAGGATCGCTTGAAGATGGATGTTTGTTAGAAGCTACAACTGGTGTGTGGATGAAACCCGAAGGTCTTTACATACGAAATCGTTGGTCAATTGTCTCTACTTAAAGCGAGCTTTGTATTCACTCAAGATGAGTGGAGACCAAGTCTTGACTGAGCAGCTGGATATGTTCAACAAGTTGATTCTTGATCTTGAAATTATCGAGGTCAAGATTGATTATGAAGATCAAGTGTTACTTTTATTGTGTGCTTTACCAAGATCTCATGTATGGAAGAGATTCACTGATCTTTGAAGAAGTTCAATCAGTCTTGTACTCTAAGGATTTGAACAAACGAATGGATTACAAGTCATCTTCTGTTGGTGAAGGTTTGTCCGTTAAAGGGAAATTCTTGAAGAAAGATGATAGATTTAAGAATAATATGGGTAAAGTTTTATAGAATCCCTATGTGGTAATGCTCATATAATTAGGTGTTATCATTGTAAGAAGAAGGGTCATACAAAAAAGATGTGTTCTGATCGAATGAATAATCATAGGGGAAAAGCTAATGGTAATGCAACCACTGTACAAGATGATTATAAATCATATGATGTCCTGGTGGCTTCGAGCAACGACTCTAGCAATGAGTGGATTATGGATTCAGGTTGTACTTGATACATGACTCCAAACAAATATGTGTTTGAGAAATTATGTAATCAAGATGGTGGATAAGTGCCGCTGGGAAACAACAAAGCCTACAAAATTGCAGTAATTAGATATGTAAGATCCAACCTCCATGATGAGTCAATAAGGTTATTGGGTGATGTTAGGTATGTATCTGATCTTAAGAGAAATTTGATTTCTATTGGTGAATTCGACAAGAAAGGATATGTTTCAAATGAGAGCAAAGTATCCTAAGGATAATGAATAGGCCGAAGGAAGTCTTGAGAAGCGTGAAGAAATAAGGCTTGTATACCCTTGAAGATGAGGTTGTAAGTGGTTCAGCAGATGTGGCATTCACAAAACCTGTGTCGAAGACTGGGTTATGGTACAAGAGACTTGGCTATGTCAGTAAAATAATCTTGGTCGAATTGTTGAAACAAAATTTGTTATGTGGTGATGAAGTCAAAAAAATTGGAGTTTTGTGAACCTTGTGTATTTGATAAATTCTATAGGATGAATTTTAACAAAGGTAAACAAATAACACATGGATCCTTTGATTACAATCATGTTGGTTTTTGGGGCCGACAAGAAGCCCTTCACACTCAGGTGCAAAGTATTTCTTATCCATAGTTAATAATTATTCCAGAAAGTTATGGGTATTCATTCAGAAGACTAAAGATGAAACTTTTGAAAATTTCAAAAGTTGGACGAATCTAGCCGAAAACCAAACTATCAGGAGGGTCAAAAGGCTGAGGACCGACAATGGTCTTGAGTTTTGCAATGAGGCTTTCGACAGCTATTGTATTATGCCTAATATTGTAAGACACATAACTACCTCAAGTACTCCCTAACAAAATGGTTTGGCTAAAAAGTTTAATCAAACTATTTTGTAAAGGGTTAAATGCATGTTTGTTAGTGCAAGAATGAAGAATGTGTTTTGTGTAGAAGTTGTTGTGACAACAGCATACTTGATAAATACGTGTTCTTTAATTGTCTTGAAGATAAAGACATCAGAAGAAATATGGTCGGTACATCCACCTAATCTCGAAGGACTTAGAGTATTTGATTGTTTAGCCTATACTCATATTAGGCAAGACAAGTTTGAACCCATAGATCTGAGATGTATGTTCCTTGGATACCCTGAAGGAGTCAAAGCTTATGGGTTGTGGTGCCTAGAGCCTGGTCAAAAGAGGTGTATCATAAGTTAAGATGTAGTTTTCAATGAAACAGAAATGACATTCAAGAAAACTGATGATGTTGGTTGAAGTACTAAGATTTATGAAGAAAAGATGGAATAAGAAGAGATTCTAGTTGAGGTGGAGCATAATGATGTTGAATTGCATAACCCATATGAAGTTGAAGAAGATGCATAAGTTGCTGATGAAGATGAGTAGACTGAAAATGACTATCTGTTGTCAAGAGACAGGTCGAGAAGAGTCATCAAGCCACCTCAGAGACTTGGTTATCCAGATCTCATAATTTTTTTCTTTAATCTCTACAATTGAGGTCCTTGATGAAGAACCTAGAGATTACAAGGAATCTGTGAGGATTTGAAACAAGACTGAATGGCTGAAATACATGGATGCGATGAAATATTTTTATGATAATAACACTTGGGAGCTGATCGAGAAACCTGCAGGGTCCAGGTTAGTCAATTGTAAGTGGATTTTCAAGGTTAAGGAAGGAATCAAATGAGTGATGTCAAAATGATTTAAGGTGAGGTTGGTTGCTAGGGAGTTCACTCAGAAAGAAGGTGTTGACTTTAATGATGTGTTCTCATCTATTTAAAGCACAAGTCCATTAAAATGTAGTTAGCCATGATGGCAAAGTTTGACCTAGAATTGGAACAAATTAATGTGAAAACTGCCTTCATGTATGGTGATCTAGATGTAAAAAACCTGATGAGGCAACCTGAAAGTTATACAAAAAAAGGAAAGGAAGATTATGTGTGGAAGCTGAATGTGTCTCTATATGGCCTGAAACAATCTCCTCAACAATAAAATAGAAGATTCGACAAGTTCATGGCATACATAGGTTTTACTATGAGGCATTTCGACCACTGTGTTTACTTCAAATTTTAACTTGGGAATTCATTTGTTATTTTGTTGCTTTATGTGGATGACATCCTCATAGCAAGCAACAATGTCGAAGATGTTATAAAGGTGAAGGTTGAGCTCGATAAGGAGTTCGACGTGAAGGATCTGGGAGCTGCTTTTAGGATTCTTGGGATAGACATTCAGAGAGATATAAAGCAGTCGAGATTATGCTTATCTCAAGAGACATACCTAATGGAGATTCTCGATAAGTTTGGTATGTTGAATTCAGAGCTTGTTGTAACACCGACTAATCCTCAATTCAAGTTCAGTACAACTCAAAGTTCTAGTAGTGAGGTTGAAAGAGCCTATATGAATAACATTTTATATGCTAGTATAGTAGGTTCTTTGATACATGTTGTGATATTTACGAGGCCATACATAGCGTACGAAGTGAGCATTATAAGCAGGTATATAGCCAATC